TACAGCAGGCTGTAGATTAAAGAGAGCAACATTCTTGTCAACTGTACCATCCACAGAGAGACAAATTGAGAGAATGAAGGGGGAGTGAATAAGAGTTTGGAGTTAAAACTTCAAAAAGCAACCTTGTTCAATAGAAGATTACGTTTTGTTCAAACACTGACAAATGTAACAGGAACAGAATAAAGCGTTGGGATCAAACAGGTGCAACACATTTAATATAAACTGTTTTCATTTATAAAAGGTAAACTGTGCAAAACATAGTAGAAGCAATAGTCAGAAAAGTGTTTATATCATCATCTGGCATTATCTCTCTGCTATTGCAATTGACTTTAGTTGAGTCTGCTGCTTTAATCTTCTCATTTTAATTTAATTTAAGGCTCATTACCTGACATGTGTCAATACTGCACAAACACTCAATAACATTTTCTCTGCAATAGTACAACAAGTAGTTTTGTAGTGCCAAAGTATAACATATAGCCTGCTCTAAAACAACAAACACCTGAATTAGTTGTCCATGCTCCACACAATAACCCACTCACAATGCTTTTTACAGGTTAATGGCTACAAAGTTAATGCTAGGTAGCTAACTGACTTGTCTACTAAAGTTTTCTTACATTTAACACACTCTACTTACATAAAACTCAAGGTCAAATAAATTGCAATAAAATATACAAATGAACTGCTAGTGGATTTAGAGACTCCCAATGAAAAATGGAATGATACCACTTTTAGTAGCAGGCGAATTTTATTGGCTAATGCTAATCGCTTTTGGAAATTGCTAGTTCTTCCAGCACATACACGTATCCCAGGCTTACTCTCAGCATTATTTTAGATCCCAATTTTTTTTTACAGGTGTTCACAAAAATGTATAATGTTAGAGTCAAGATAGAAAGTAGTTGTCTTACCTGTGCAAAACATATTTTGGCAATATGCGGCAAACTGCCCTTTACACGATATTGGGGTAAACTATCTCAGCTTTGAACGAGATAAATCCTGCGACAAGGAACAACAGCTGAGCTCTGACCCCCGACCTCTGCTAAAAAGTGTTCACAGATAGCACTTAGAGCCAATACAGTACATTACAATTACAGACTGTCCACATTTTTGAAGGAGCATTTGTGTTTATTAACCAGCTTTCACACGAGTAATGCTGGGCTTTGTAGTTATTGCAGTTTGTAGATTTTTTTTTAAATGTACGAACGTTTATTATCTCCTTAACATACAAGTAGGCTACTATTAAGAACATAGGCCTACCATGAATGTAATGTTAAGTGCATCATGTTCAACAAAGTGTGATTACACTGACTCACTCTTGTTGCCATTATGATTCGTTTTACACAATATATCTTGCAATCGAGTGCAAAAAGTAATTGAATCTAGCCTACAGTAGGCTTTACAGAGGTAAAATAAAAGTGTTCTTAAATATGATTCTGGTTCGCCATTGTAAACATATTATACAAATGTATATTATGTCTTAGTCCTATATTTGTTTTTAATATCTAAGAATCTGGAGAAATATACATTGGTTTGATATATATTGTGAACAATGTTGATGTGCATTTTAGTCCATTCACTGAATATAATTTGGTCGGTCCATGGTGAAATGCATAACCATGAAATGGAGACGAAGGAGGGGAGAGCTGGCAAATAAGAGAGAAATGAGCTCACACCGCTGTGTTGCAAAGAGTGTTTGATGACCCCCCTGCTACATTTCTGGTCATGGTCAATCAATCGTCCCTTTGAAGTGTCTTTCTCCTGTCATAGATCAAGACAGAAGTCTGGCCTAACCCAAATACAACTCTCTGTCTCCCCCCAACACAAATACTGTGAACATTTCTATACCACAATACTCAGTCACATGTTCATGTCACTTTTGTGCCATGCAGTAATTTGCAGTGGAACAATATCAGCAGTATTAATATGCAATGGAGGAGGGTAGGCTCTCAGCTGTCTTTGTGAAAGCTGATTATGAGGAGTTTAATTTCATCAGATAAGGATGGCTTCGTTTATGAGCATAAAAGGCTCCAGGCTCCAGACTGACAGGCTTTCAATGACACAAGCACTCCCCCTGCTGTTTCTCTTTATTATAGTCGGGTCAGTAAAGCTCTTTATGCTGTAATGTATCCTCCAACAGTCAAACAGTATTTGATTACCACAACAGAACAGTGTCCGCAGTAGATCTGTGTCTGTTTGTTCATGAATTCATCCTTGCATTAAAAATATTCACAGTGCTATAATTTTGAGTGATCAGCAACAATTCTGACACAAATGAATATAAATATGTTTGCACTTATCTATGAACATACAGCGAGGGTATATTGCAAGATTATGAGTATTTCATACAGATTTCATACATTATAAGTAGATAAACCAACACTTAACTGTTTTGCTTGTTTCATTGCTGCAAATACATTCAAATATATATATATATATATTGCAAATAACAGTTGAGTACTCTTGTGAATCAATTTGATGTTTCTCAATTAGCATGAACTCTCCATGAGATGCTCCAAGAGGGATACAATAAATGATTATTATTTTCAACTATTATTTGATAGAAATCTGTTCTGCATCTGGGGGCCCTTGAAGTAAATTGTTGGTGCTGAATCAGAATTAATGAAGGGCTCTCTTTCCTTCTTAATTTCTGCCAAAGCTGGACGTGGGTGACAGCTCTTGCGTTAGCAAGCATCTGCCATGCTGAAGTGTCCTGGAGGGAGGAAATAAACACTTGGCAGCTTTGGCAGACACAAGAGATTTCTTCTACTGCCCATTTAAATTATGAATGTTGATGTGTCTTTCTGTTGCTTCACAAAAAATCTCACTAACCCTTTTTTTCTTTCTCATGCAAATCTAATCATTTATGCAGAACATCAGCAAGGATGTCAGGGATGGACGTCTCGTTGGTGGACTATAATGAGACTGCAATCTCTCCGATAGACAATGGGACCTTTCTACGATTCTCGCCAACCTCTTCTTCCACATCAGCGGCCGCCTCATCACCGGGACGTCAGGGCAACGTTTACGTTTATGTGTGGCTCTTCCTCGGCCTGCTGGTATTCCTGCTGACGCTGCTCATCATCTCCCTCCACAGGCTGAAGAACATCATCTCCTCCTCCTCATCGGTCCCAGACTGCAGCAGCGAAGGAGGGAGCTCCTTCACCAACATGGAGATCTGTAGCATCTCATCTCAGAGGTCCACCATCTCCTCACTGTCCACCTGAGCTTCACGGGAGGGAGCACGTACAGACACATGGACATGTTTGTCCACGAGGATCCCCCTTTGAACGCATGCTTATACGCTGAAAGCAGGAAAGCCTGCACACTCAAAACACATGGATGCCCATCACTTCCTCATTGTGATATAAAAACACTTGCTTACGCATGTATATAGTAATCCCAATCGTTCAGAAAGTCATGTGTGTTCATGCAATTTCCATAAGCACAGGGGAAATAAGATGACAATGTGAAGAAGAGGTCTTGAGGGATGAGACTGACTGGCCTTGTTTCAAAGACAAATGAACCTGGGAGACCACTTTCCCCTAGCAACAAAAGCTTAATGAGGGAATACTATTTTTCCTCTTCATTTTTCAAAGGTTAATTTCTTGTATTTTGCTTGTCATCTTTACTGTGAAACATTAATATTGCTTTCAAGTACGTCCAGCATGTTTCATAATATCCGTAGACTACATAAAATAATTACAGTACTACAATCATATTAAAGACCATTGCTTTGTTCAGATATGCATGTGTGTGTGTGTCTAGTTGTCTAATAACAAACTATGGGATACCTTAAAACTGTACATCAGAATGCTTCATGATTCCCCTGGAGAACGGACATTGCACAAGACATCAGGCTGTTGGTAAAGGTGAGGAAGAAAGTGTGTCTTACTGACAGGCCGCGGGCCTCTGACTGCAGCTACAGACCGGGTCAAAAGTGACATAAACGAGATGAAATCTGGGTCCTGGCTCTAGCAGCGTGACGGGTTACCCTCTCTTGCCTGTCAGCTCGTATGGCGTCTGATTGCAGTCTCCATAGTGACTGAAGCATGAGAGCTCTGTGCAGCCTGTCTGACTTCTTTGTTTAAGCTACGTATGGTAATGGTTGCTTCTGCTCAAAAGACATCATTTGTGTTTTAATACTGTGAAATGTTGTTCCTTTGACAAGACATCCCACATTCAGAACTTATTGTTATAAAATTAATTACCCCGTGCTTGTGTTGTTTTTGGTATTTTGGGGCATCATTTTATTCCTGTCAACATCATTCAGTAAAGATAAAAACATGTATGACCTGGGTGTTTGTACTGACCATGACCTTTCCTGTGCAAATCTAACTTTTGTCAATGGGTTGAATGAATACCATAAGGATTTTCATTCTTTTCTTACACACATTGTCTATTTTAATTGCCTTTAAAAGATGTGAGCCTTCCTTTATCTCTTTTAGATATTACTTGGTATGCTGCATAAGGGTGATTCAAGAGCAAAACAAAGTAACTTGATTGAATGATGCTTGATTGAACTAGACTCACTTAAAACATTGCACAATTTGATTGTAATAAGTTCCATTTAATAGTATAAACTAACATTTCAACTGTAAATCTCAACTCTGAGTTCTTAGGAGGTGCTGCAGAAAGTGACTGACAGTAACAGGCATTTGAAATGAAAGGTAGTTCGACAATGTTGTCAAGTGCACATTTTGACTCGAGAGGCTCTTGAAATCTTTGGAGAAAGCAGGATTCCTTTCAGACCGGTGTCTTGTTAAATCTGCAGTTAGAGCTCACTCTGCAGTGCCGTTGTCTTGAAGTCAAAAAGAAAGCTTTTGGTGAAACAGAATGTCTCACCAATGAAAAGTCAAGTCATCAAATTCTTTGCATATTTTATTTTTCTTATCATGATTTTTTTTTCAACTCACACATGTCATATTTTACATCTTTGCAATAAAACATGAATACAATAGTTTTTTAGGGTTTCATAGATCCAAAAATATTTAACCTTTTTTTGGATACGTAAGTTGAACCTGTCGATAGAGTATGTGCATGTGCGCATTTGATCAAGATGGCTTCACACATACAGTACCTCTCACATTTCATCCCCTCTCCTCACTCCTTTCCACCTCTATCAGCTACAGAATCATGATATTGCTTACAACTGTGAGGTTGTAAAACCTAATAATCACACATGAGCTCAACGCTTTAAATACAAACATCAATGCACAAATAATCCCGAAGGGGAAATGGACCTAAACAAAATGGCAGCCGACCAGAAAGAACCAAGCTAATAAATAATGATATGTGATTGGTGCAAAGTGCAAATACAAAACAAACTTTTACATTGATTTGATTCTCTTCTTTTAAATAATCAACAAATGTGGGTAAGTGAAGGTTTCCTTTGCGCTTTCAATCTTATTCAGCTGATTAGGTCTCCCGCCGAGCCTGAACCAAGACTTTATGTACATATTTGACAAAACAATCACCAAATATACAAAGGAAATCATCTCAGTCTCGTGGTTGTCATCCTTGGTGGCACTGGCAAGATCTCTTTATCATTACCATCTCCGGCAAAATAATCACCATCCTTGACACTGCCGTTATCATCATCAATCTTGTCAACATTATAATAATTATTACACAATATTTTACATACAGCAAGTCATTAATAAATTAAAGGTGATAAGCGCAGTTTGTGTAGTGAAAGAACACGTGTTGGCTCTGAAGGAAGCAGAACCTTATTTACATAAGAATCAGACTTAACCCTGCTGCAGGGAAAATAAAATAACATCAAATTAACATTATAAAATAAAATAAATCCAGATAAAATATAATCATAACCCCAGACATTTTTTCAAGGGTGAATTTTAAGATCAAGCCAATAGCACCGTTTTTTCTGAAGAGTGGGCGGGGCTGGATAATTTCTAACCATTTCTAATCAGTTGAGACACATTGAAGGAGTCTTAATTTACAGTCCACCCAAATCATTATTTGACTGAACTCCCATCAAAGGAAAAGTAAAGAACAAAATTGATAGAGAAGAAAAACACAAGAAAACCAAAACTTAAGTTCTTTGTCTATAAAGCATGAAGCGTACCAGGAACAGCAACTGCAGCAGTCCAGCGAGTGGTACGGGTATGAACGACCTCTACAAGGTCTGCTTGACTTTCCCCCATTCTGCAGTCTATTTTATGAGCAGGTTTTGGTGTGTATCTTCGGGGTACTATGTGTCTGTGGTTACACACGTATGTGTACGTACACGTATGCACAGAGGGAGTTATTTCCACCAGCGCTGTAGCATCCTCAAATCAAGTAAACTTCACAAGGGATTAGAGCTGGCACTTGCTTTTCCTTCCCCTCTGTACCTTCAGTTTCCCCGTGTCGCAGATACACAGCAGAATGCTTCACCTCCTCTCTTTGTTCTTCTCTCGTCTCCCTATCCTTCCCATCCTCATGCTGTCCACCTCAGTACCTGTTCTGGTGCTCGTAGTGCCAGCGGTTGAAGTCTATGTTGAATGCCACAATGCTTCCGGATGCCATGCCAGTGATCAGAGTCCTGAGGGCAGAGCAAAAACAGTAAGTCACATCCAAACTATGCACATACTTTTGGAAAATTGCATACCTTAAACCAGGAGTGTCCAAACTACGGCCAGGGGGCCAAATGCGGCCCACGGACCATTTTGAATCGACCCTCAGCTAATTCAAAAAGTATAATGAAACAAATGAAACTTCTACTTGTCTTATATTGTACTTCTCAAATATATATGTTCAAATATATTACACAGTATTCATGTGATAAAAAGCCAAATCTTCATTAAAATCAGACAATTCAGTCTGAAGCTCCTGTTTTAAGGAATGAGCTGCCAACACAATAAATGAAACCCTATGGAGAGCTAGGATGTACGCTGCATTTTCAAGTATCAAGAATAATTTACCTACATTTGATTGATTTTTCTAACTTATAACTGAACTTATGAGGCAATATACCTCTCGTGAGTGGCCCAGCCCTTTGTATATTTGTCTGTATGTGGCCCTCGGTGAAAAAAGTTTGGACCCCCCCCTGCATTAAACCGTTGCATTTTTCTCTAGGACATCATCTGAGGTTTGGGTAAAATAACCTCACAGTTACTGATTATTCAGTATTCTCTGCTGCCCCCTGGTGACCCAGTTTCCTTCACAACAATAGTGAACTTCTATCAATTATTCTACTGACTCTCAGAGTGACAGCCTGTCTGTTTTACCTCTGGTCATGTGAGAGGTCCATGGCACGGATGCCTGCATCACAGCCTGGATAGATGTACAGCTGTTTGAAGTCGCACGCCTGCCACACTTCCACAACTCCGTTATCGCCTCCTGTCACCAAGTTCTGTCCGTCGCTGCTCAACAGGATCGCCTGGAGAGAGAAAGAGAATAGAGAGGGGTCAAAAGAGGCTCAACTACTCCATTGTGTTGAACAACAGTATATCGCATTGTTTATTGGTAAATAAAAACAGGATTCATGCATGAATATACACCAAAATGAATATTATGTTGAAATGAACAGTATTAACTCTGACTGCCTTACCCGCGTGGAGTCATTGACCTCCATTTGTGCCAGGAGTTTTCCATTTATGCTGAAGTTGCAGAAGTGGCCTCTGTCATAGTAGATGATGCAGTGGCCCTCGCTGGACACTGAGATGAGGCGGGGCCGCTGACACAGCTCTGGTCCCTCCAGGGCCCGAAGAAGGTCCCCTGTGATGGTGTGGACCAGGCATGGGCCCTCTGAGAAGCAAGACCAGAGCGAATTAATAAAGAAGTTATTTTACTCAATTAGCTCTGCTGACGGTAGAGTGATCAGGAAATATCAGCCTAACCTCTAATAGAAATTAAAACAACGACATATGGGAAAACAACATCTATGAGAGGGCAATCTACAGGTCTTTTGTCCAATGGCTTTGCGGCTGTTATGTATCTGAGGGTTCTAACATTTCAATATTTTATCTTTTATTCAATTCTCACAGTGAAAATAATCTATAAATCGAAATTTAAATTGGGCACACAAACCTTTAGCTCCACTGATGACCAGTCCCAGCTCTGCACAGACGGACACACACACCACTTCATGGTCGTGTCCTGTCAGTACGGCCCTGGGAGCGGGGTAGTCACCTGGAGAAGAAAACAGAGTTAGAGACACCATACATCTCCGGGACCTGTGTCTGAACTAAGAGCATGTAGACACCGAGTGTCCAACAAACATGTTGTTTCCTTCAAGTCATCACTCACTGTTGTTAGGGTTGTCCCCGATAATGTGGTGTCGTCCACTCCAGTACCACAAAAGAAGAGTGGCGTCTCTGGAGCCCGACACGATGTAGCAGTCACCTCCGATGTAGGACTCTGATCTGGCGAGACATGTCACCACATCCCAGTGGCCGAAAACTATCTGGGTCAGCTTTCCTGTGGAGAGGAACGAGGAGCGAGGCTAAGTCACTGTGCCCTCTACAGTAATCATACCTTCGTAGGCCAAGGGTGATTAACTAAGGCAAGAATCCAACGAAACATCTGAACACTGTAAATAAAGCTCTCACCAGTTTTAACTTAGTTAGTAGGTTTTTTTGTATCCAGAAACTATCATTTGTTTTCGGTTGTGCGCACTTTAGAACCTGTTTATTCATGATTACTTTACTGCCAGGTGTAAATACATGGGTTAAACATGCAGGTTAGGGAACATAGAGTCACTAAATATAAATCACTAAATCTCTAGTCCAAAAAATAATTTGAGGTGTAAGCCCAGGTGTATATGTGAAAAGAAAAATCTAAATCTCCCCTTGATGAAATATCCAAACAAAAATCTAAATAAAATTACAATGATTCCACATTATCTTTATTCAAACTAGGACCTATGACAGGATTGCAGCTTTTATAGAGTTTTTAAAAACACCTGCTGGTACATTTAGACTAAACACAATGCTCAACAGGTTTTCTGAATAATACCAAACCTACCCGTCTCAGTGGAGTAAACACGGAAGCTCTTGTCCCAGAAGCCGCAGACCAGGATGTAGCGGTTGTCGGCGGTAACCACGAAACAGTGTGTGTTGATTTGGATGCTCTGGTCCACGAGGTCAGTGATCTGACGCTTGTTCACGCCTGAGTTGTTGGCTACATGGGAACAGCGTAAGTTAATAAGGGCAGCGTAATGCCATATGGTTCACAAGCATTTTAATAACTGTTCATAATATTTTATTACTCATGTTAGTATTACAGCCTGGTACTCAGTAATATGTGCACAAATCCCTAATATATCATGTTATATATTTAATGAAGTCCTACTACTTGGTTCTAAAATATTATCGGTATTACATAAAACCAATTAAATATGCTGTGGAAGTGTTAGCGCACTGACCTATGAGAGGGTCCATCTCAATGGGCAGATGATGAGCCTGCTCCAGGGAATATCCCGGAGCTCCACGGAGGCCTGAAGGATAAAGGGTAAACACATTAAAGTAAGTCACACCCGCACATACACACATCGTAAAGCTCTCGTATAATCCCCTAGTCGAGTGCTCTGTGATGCATGCGCTACAGCGGGATAATGTTGAAAAATAAAATCTTCACAACCAAAGTCACTAGGGCTGCCTTATGGCCCGCGGTAATTACACTACCACGATTCATTAAACCTACCCTGCTTTTCTAATTAGGTCATTAAAGGTCAATTGAGGGTTTAATTAACACATATTTCTTTGTCAACATGTGGACAACATAGTAGTAAACTCTCACCCGGGGCTTAAAGCACTGCAGGCTTCCATACATTAGTGTTAATTGCATAGAAGATACATAGCATAGAATATAGCATGAAATTATTTTCCTTGGGTGTTTTTTATGAATATTTTGTATAAATCCTTAAATAATTTAGTCTTTATAATGTCATGAATTTGCCACAAAAACAACAACAATTTAGCGTTGCCCAAAGGGAGTTCTTTAAATTGCATTTGTCTGATCAATCTTTTTAAAAATAAAGTGATTCCATTTGATAAAAGAGAAAAATCAGCTAACCACATTTGAGAAGCTGGAATCAGTATGTCTGTGGAAGTTTTCCTTGATAAATTAATAATTGTTATTAAGACTTATTGATTAATTGATTAATGACTAATTGTATGTTACTGTATTATTAAGGGATTGCCATAGTGTAGTTTCAAGATGCTCAAAATCGTCAAATAACAAAACTGTATAAACTTTATTCTGTTCAGATAATGTAATGTCCAGTTCCATTCCTCAAAGGGGGATAACTTAATATGTTACATGAGGATCTATGGTTTCCATTTCCACATTATAATGTATTTTCTTGGTGCTCTCACCGACTGTGTTGTGCCAGCGGTTGACGGCAAACAGCCGGCTACATGTGACGGTGACGGCTGCTGGGATGCTGAGGTGGGGGAGCGTGTTGGCCGCCACGTGGGTGACGGGCGAGTTGGAGGGGAACTTGAGCACCATGATGACATCCTGCTGCATCTGATCCTTAAACATCAGCGGGCTCTGGGGAAGGAAACACTGGTGAGACAGACAGAGAAGGAGAGAGGGACAGAGAGGAAGAGGGAGGGGGGCAGAGCAGGGAAGGGGAGGTCGGAGCAGGGAAATGGAGACGGAGGTAGAGGGAGAGACAGAACAGATGGAACAGAGGGAGGGACGGGAAAAGGTATATTAGTGGGAGCTCAGGGTCAGAGCAGGTACACACACTGAGGGGGGGCTAGGCCTTGGAGAGGAGGTGGAGGCGCAGGTTGGTCGGGGGGCAGGACTGACAGGTAAGGGGGACATGGATGGCTCTGATGTGGAGACACTGAGGCCTCGTTCTGCTCAGGGCGAGGCAGGAGAGAGAGGCTAACAGGGCAGGGCTAGCAGCATTACATATACGTGTATATAATAACATCTCTCAATTGGAGTATAGGAAAAATCAACCTGTCTATAAAAGATAGACATACTGGGGAAAAACGCTCTTCCTGTTCCAATAGTGAACATTTTCTCAAGACATTAAGAACATGCAAAAAGTATGGGAGAACAGCTGACTTGCTGACTTGCTGTTTTACGAAGGTGTTTTTAAAGCATATACTGGGAGATTACTGCTATGATACTGAAACCTATGCAGGTTTTTCAAGGATGTGTTCTCACCAGGTGCATGGCCGAGGAGCGAGGTGGGTGGGGCTCGATCAGCAGCTGGGAGGGGATCTGCCCACACGCCTGGATCTGGGACTCAATCCCCTAGAGAGAGAGAGAGAGAGAGAGAGAGAGAGAGAGAGAGAGAGAGAGAGAGAAAAGGGGTTAACACAGGAGAAGACACACTTTTGAGAAACATAAAAACTAGTTGAGTGAAGCCACATATCTTTACCTTCTTATTTACTTATTTTGTTTGTCTTTTTGTATGCATGAAGCACATGCGTGTACTTTGAGTGTATCTCTAGAGAACCATTCCCTCCGCCATAGGGAGTATACTGTATATCCAGTGAGTATTTAGCTAAGAGATTTAGACATTAAATCGATCTGATGCTACCATACGATCTTGAATGAGAAACTCACCAAGGGAAGATTTCTGCACTGTGATAATCAATTTGGGAGTCAAACAAGAGTGAAGTGTTGCCATGGAAACTGACCTCGCGTTGCACAGCATCTGCATTTTCTAGGTTGATTGATCCCTCGTAGGACAAGAAGTTGAACACGTTGAGGGATCTCACTGCTTCTGGCCCCCGCTGCTTGTAGCCGAATATTAAATCGATCCACTGGTGAAGCTGGCAGGACACAAACTCGCTCTCCAACGCCTGGTGGAGGTCACAGGGGCAGAGAGAGGAAGGAAGGGAGAGTCAAGACTATTATCAGAGTCTTTCAAGTGGACTTAAAGGCAGAGACAACTAGCCTTCTTTCAGCTTTTATATTCCTTGGAAATGACTGTCAGTCTCTTACCATACGGTTAATGCGGACAAAGTCCTCGGGTTTCTTGGCCCAAGCAGGAAGCTCCACGTCACACACAGAAATTCCATCTTCACGCACCCCGAGCTCGTACTCATTACTGTTCACAAACATCTCAGGCAAGTAGTAGAACTCTGGGATCAGCTCCTGATGGATAAAACAGAAAAAAACATTGTTTATTTAAAATAAAAATAGGACTTTCCTCCAGAAATTTGAATATTTTCAGCTAATTAAACATTGCCAAACAGAAAAAAAAAGCTCAGAGAACTAAATATAAACTGCAGAGAACAGAAACCAATGAATCTTAAAGTTTAAAGACTTTTTTATCGAATGACCGTATGAGCTGTTTGACCCTTATACCTACACCTTATACCCTTTATACTTTTAGAGACGTTCAAATAAAAGCTACAATTAAATTATTTTCTCAAACTCTGCAACATTTTATTTGCAAATGTAGTTTAAAATAGACAAGCACTTGCGTTGGATGCATTCACGTCATTGTGTTTTTGTTGGGTTTTCCTAATTCTGGGCAATTTCAGTTTACAGTTTTTATTGTTTTATAATAATCTTGACTAGTCACTTCCGTTGGACCATCATCAGCCCATCATGTCTTCTTACCTTGACATCAGCTGTGTCCCTCTGGCAGTTCCTCCACGAGCAGCCGATGCCAGAGAAGGCTCTCTCCGGATGGTCGAACTTGTTATCGTTAGCGTTGAGGAAAAACGTGGTAAAGGGCTCCTGCGGGCACATTGAACAGACAAATTCATTTAAACTGCCATGTGCTCGAGCAGCTGCTGAAGGTCGAAGTCTGTAAGTGTGTGAAGAGCAGCAGGTACTTACTATTCTGAGCATCCACATCAGTGTGGAATGAGCGGTGGAGTACATGGTGGTGTAGTGGTGAGGAGGCGTGCTGTCGTCGTCCCACGTCTCGAAGCGTTCGGCATAAAACGCTGCTCGCTTGGGATTCAGTGCACCGATTGGCTGAGGGAAACCACAGAGAAATATTAGAATTAAGTCAACAATCAAACAGGAAACGATATATGCAGGTTTCTCCTGTTCCTTACAGAGTGTGCTTTTGAACAGTGAAATCTTACACTGTGAATGTTCTGATCCTCTGTAGGAGGAAACGCAGGGAATTACATCCACAGTCTTATGTGCCTTTGTTTTTCTACTTTAATTGGAGAAAATGCAACTAGGAAATGTTTCTGCTAAGCCTAGGTGGTACGTCTTGAGCTGTATTACAGCCTTTTCTTGGGTTTAGAGCATTTTTTGAGTAGCACTACTGAGGGTCTCCTCGACCTGGAGTGAATGGACCTTTGAAGTCTCCTGGAGAGGTTCACACATCTGTGAAGACCTGTGTTGTTATAAAAGAGGTTGT